CCCCAAAACCCCAAAACCCCAAAACCCCTCATGATACAAAATTTGTGGAATTTAATAAATTATTAATCTAAAAATCGATAAAAATGCACGGACATGTAGATTCATTGATGGCTACACTTTCCAAACATGGCCACAAGAACAAACACTTAATGGCCGCACTTGCTCTGATCGGCCTGTATAAAGTAGCCACAACCACTCTTTCATACTCATGGAGCTTCTTTAAAACCTTCCTCAGGCCTGGAAGAAACCTTTACAAAAGATATCAGGGAGGCTATGTTGTGGTTACAGGTGCTACTGATGGCCTTGGCTTGGAGTATGCCAGACAGTTTGCTCTGAAAGGATTCAACCTGGTCTTAGTCGCTAGAAACCAAGAAAAACTCGACGCAACCAAGGCTGAACTTTCCAGAGAGCATCAAGATATCGATATCCAGCTTATCCAATTTGACTTCAACAAGCCATACACACAAGAAGGGTATGAACCACTTAAACAGGCCTTCGATAACATTGGAGACATTTCTGTGCTTGTCAACAACGTGGGGACTGCCGAGTTCAAGATGTTCGGCGACCAAGACTTGGAGCCAATGAACAGGATGATCCAAGTGAACTGCATCCCTCAAGTAATTGTGACCAAATTCTTGCTACCTAGATTATTGGCAAGATCTAAGGAGCAAAACAAGAGAACCGCTATTATTAGTGTTAGTTCACTCTTAGATTATGTTCCACTTCCAACAAGCGCTGTATATACTGCTACCAAGTCCTTTAACAAGACTTTCTCTGATGTTCTGAGAAAAGAAAATGGAGAACATATTGACATCATGACTATTCTACCAGGACCTACCAAAACAAACTTGATGAAACGTGAAGGTGGCTTGATCGCTACAGCTTCCCAGCATGCCAGATGGTCTCTAAGCGATGTGGGCTACAATAGTGAATCGTTCGGTCATTACAAGCACTGCATCTTCCGCTCAATATTCAAGATGCCACTGGTGGAAAGAATGATCATTTCGTCAATGTTGAAAGCTCAAAAGGAGCAAGAGCAATAATCTACAGGAACCTTTACATAAACATTGGTTGTAGATATTCACAATTTCCGCTGGATCAAAGGGGTTTTGGGGTTTTGGGGTTTTGGGGTTTTGGGG